TCTCTCTCACACACACACACACACACACACACACACACACACACATACACACACACACACACACACACCATCTGAAGCTCAATGACAACACCGAGTTCTTGATCTGTAGAAATCTTGGTCGTATATAATTACAGTTGGGGAGTGATGTCATTTGAAAATGCTGTTATGGTACAGTTCCTATCGCCTCGGCTGCTTCTTCCCCCCAGCTCACAGCCATACATAACGGATTCCTCCTCTGTCCCCCCACCTACCACCACCACCCTCCCCCCCTTCCTTAAAGATGTCATTTGAAAAATGTTGTTGACGTGTTCTTTCCATTATCTCCACTGCCCGTTTGCCCTCCATTTCTGGAGGCATGACATCAACCACCCTCCCCTCCCGAAGCCCCTCCTCCTCCCCCTTTCCCTCTCTCACCTCCAACCTCTGCACGTCAACTGCAAGTAGTTCTCACATGGTGTAAAAGAGACAGTAGAATTCTAATTCCACCTTTTCATACATCAGAACTTACCTTGTGGATTTCGGTGAGTGAGCCCTCGCTGCCAGAGGACTGCCATCCATGAGAAATCTACCACAGGTACCACCTTCGCACCTCGCTTCCCCGGTAATGTGGATCCGCATATGTCTGCCCCTGGAACCTTCCCTAAGCATGGCCTGCACAAAATATCTATCTGCACACAATAAAGTTCATGAACAAAAGGAAAGAACACAGTATAAAAGATCGTCAGTCTCGCCTGTATGTACTTGTCCGTGGGGGTGCCATGGTCGAGCCTGGGTACAGCTAGCATGTTTCCCGTCACTATGGCACCCGTACGAGAGTCCACACAGAGCAAACTTAGACTACGGTAGGGCCCATCTCGGGGGGGATAACCCTACGCACACACTGGGTGTTAGTATGGGTAGGTACTGGGTACTTCTCATCCCACAGGTATCTCACGATGCCTGTGGGTGGTGCTTCATCCAGGATGGGGTCCGCGAGAATTCTCATTGGGTAATTACTTGGACTGGGGATTCTTGGGGAGCCTTGGGTAGGAAGGCATCATGCTTAGGATAGGGGAAGGGCGGGATATCGCATCTTAGCGGAAGGGCGGTTCGCTGCCCATAGAGTCTGAGGGATGAGGCACAGATGGGGGATGACTGCATGTGCATAGAGCCCGCCTATGCCCGGGTCGTCCTTAACATTCGAGTTAGGGTAAGTGTCCGCATGAAGACTTTCGGGTTCGTCCTGTAAGTGTTGGCGCAGATCACAACGTGCGATCTGAGTATTAGCATGCATCATGGTACCATGGTGCCATCTTGAGGTGACTCCCCTGGGTCCCTCGCAATCCATCTGACCTCCCAATGGACGAGTACTATGGGCACCTCCTGACGCCTGGCCACCACCCTCTAGTACCTGGACCTTGAAAAAAAAAAAAAAAAAAAAAGGATTTCAGTTTGGACTTCGATCTTTATTTTTGAAGCTCTTTTTTATTCAAAAAAAGTTTAAAAAACAGAAAAAGAGGACCTTATGGCCCGGGTTCCATATCCATTCTGGGGAGTGTCAGTCCGGTTCCTATTCCACCGGCAAGTCAGGTATACATTAAGAACACCCCCACAGTTCCTTCCGTGTGGTCAAAAGACCCCTGAGCAGGATGTGGAAGCCAGAAGCCCCTGACCTTGACTGGATTTTAAAGCTGGTTGAAATGGCTGTCAGAAAATGTTTATCTTCTAGGGTCGGTCAGTGTACTGAAGGGTCCTTCGTTAACAGTGCGGCGATTGCTTCCATGACAAACAGGAATATTGGTTCTGCTACTGAATCTCCCTGCCTAACCGCTCTTGCCTTCTGTAAGCTTCCGACCGTTGGCCGTTGACTCACGCTATACCTTTTGCATTGGAGTGTAGCACTTGAACCCACCTTCTGAAGTTCGAAACCATTCCCATCTTTTCCATACATAGTTGTAGGAAGTTCTCTTTTTTTTTTTTTAACATAGTTGTAGGAAATTAGGAAGTTACAGTTTACTTCTTTTTTTTTTTTTTTTTTTTCACTTGAATCAAGTTGAATGTAGGCTTTTTCAAAGTCAGAGGATAAAGTGGCTACCTGAAAAAAAAAGGAAATGTCTTCGACCGTCTTCTAGAAGAAAACAACACCGTAAAAGCTTTAGTTCGAACTGGCGTTAAAATAATAATAATAATAATAATAATAATAATAATAATTATTATTATTATTATTATTATTATATAATACTAATAATAATAATAATAATACTAATACTAATAATAATAATAATAATAATAATAATAATATATAAAAAAGTCTTCTGGTGCAGTTTTTTCACGCTCAATAATGCTAGACAGAGCAAAAAGTGTCTTTCTTTTCTTTTCTTTTTCCTTCAAGGGAGTACCCCATAGCATTTTTGCATCTATTGGACTCAGTCAGGATTTGAGCCGATTGTTATGATCCTGGCCAATTTCGAGATACACATTCATCAGATAGTACAATGCCATCCAATTGCAGAAAGAAATGAATGAACTTGAGAGGAGAGAGAAGATAGAAGAAGAAGAAGAAGTAAGAAAGAGGAAGAAGATGATGTACACCAGCATATACAAATGACAAAGCTCTTCTTCTTCGCCCAACTCTCTCTTGCTCCTTATCTCCTCCTTTCTTATTCACACGCGAAATAATAATACAATGTTGAATGGCTGAACCAGAATCAATGTCCGAATCCCTCTTCTACTGCTGGTATCACTTGAGGTCCACCATAGCCATGGCCGCCTCCCTCACTCTTCACTCTCATAGGCCGACACTATGGCGGACTACTAGGCCTTGCCCAGATGCCCAAAGGACAACCCAAAGCAGCTATGGCTGCTCTGGCTCAGGCCGCCATGCCTGACTCTGCCTCAAAGCTTCTTGGTGTGGCTCAACCCCAGCTGGGGCCTTCCTGCTGCAGTGCCCACCAAGGTGATGAAGATGATGGCTGCCACCATAGCCAGGTAAGTACCTCTGGCGCTCCTCCCCCTTCCTGTCCTTCTTCCTCGTCCAAGTCCTTGCTTCTTCCCCAGCAGCGCTGCTCCAAGCTAGCGCTGCTCCAGCCAGCGCTCCAACCAGTGTGTCGCCAAACTTGCACACCGACAATGAGGCTGGGCTCTTCGCCCGGCCTGGAGATATACCGGCCTGCTTGCCTCTTGGGCGGTGACTTCCAGGCCGCTCGGCCTTCCCAGCAACTGGTACCTCCTCCCTTTCGGAGGGAAACATCATTGCAGACTCTGATATTGCCTGTACAGGCCCTAGACTCAGACTGGTTGGACTGGTACCCGCCTAGACCTAGCCTACAACTACTGGGCCTCTCAAAATGCCACTTTTGTCTTCTTCTGCTCGGCCTCCAGTGCCCGCACATCTACCTCTTCAAGGTGCGGTACCGACATACCTGCTACTTGAGTGTTTTCCCCCCCTGCAATCCCTCAATGTCACGGCCACAGGTAAGTACCGGCCCTGAGGGCCCAACGAACGAACAAGTGCCCTTACGGGCCACGCACACACTCAAGCCAACCAGCACTCAGACAGACATGCAGTCCAGCAAGCGTGCACACACACAGACTTAGTAGCAAGCGGGAAACTCAGCAAGGCATTCAGTCCATGAGCAAAACTCAGAAATCAGCCGTGTGTTTCAGTCCATGTTTGGTCAAGTCATCACACGATAATCTGTTTACTAACTTGTGTTACGTGGCAGGCTTTTAAAATCGATCGTGGATTATGCCCTGATTGCACACAACTCATAATCGTCAGGATTCTTGCAGATTACTTCCTGCCTTCAAAAGCTGATTACCCCCCCTACCCACTCCCAAACTGGAGTCCAATCACCACCTGCTCTGCTGTCCCTACATGGCACACTCCACAGCTCGCTCCTTTTTTTTTGGGTGAGAGTGACTACCAAGCTGCAAATACCATGCTTTCCCCATGCCGATACGATCATGATGAATGCCCTTCATTGCCTTCAACTGAAAAAAACAGACACAACCAGGGGAGCATGAATCTTGGCACGATGTACCTGCCTTGTGACTGAACGGTACATGCATGTAACTGTTGATAGACAGATTCTGAGTTCAAACATGTGTTTCATCAGGCAAAGCAAGAACCTATCTAGGACATGTATGACGTGCATGGACATGTGCACGCATGCATTCATGCAATTATTGCAGAGAAAGCACGTCTTTTCGGTGTGCTTTGCACTAAATTGGAAATTCCACATTAAGGACTTCGGTAAGGTGCAGTTCAGATTTCAAACTAAACAATGTTTCCCAGTAAATTGGATATGGACTGCGAAGTTGAGAAGCACCTGTAAATTCCATGCTGCTTCAGCAAGATGAACTCCATACTCATCCAGTGTGTCGCAAAGCAACAAAAATGCTTGCCACTGTCGCCATATAACTACGTCTTCCATCTGCTGCACATCATGAGAATCCAGCAACGCCGCTTCATTACTTTTGCCGTGCAGGGCCTCCTTTAAGGAATCCCTCGCCTCCATTGCTGCCCACCAGTTGCTCTTGCTTTCATACTTTTCCTTCCTTTTCTTCTCCGTTACCTGTAGGCCCTCCTCTCCCTCCCTTGCTCCTTTGTTCCCTTTGGCTGAGTTCTTCTCTGGCTGTCGAAGGTTACCTTGCGGAGCCAACTTATCATCAGGTGTTGCAGTCTCCCACTCTGGCAGTGCATGTCGTAGGACATACATAGCCTGCTTCCTTGTCAGCGAGTCTTCGTCCACCTGAAGGAAGCACAATTGCAGGAAATTGATTTAAGGGGGAAAAAAAAAAAAAACAAGTTAACCCAACCAACGTGGCTGAATGGTACACAAGTGTAACTATTAACAAACAGACCACGAGTTCCGAATCTTCGGATCCTGATTGAATCAGACGGACGAACGATAAGGTTAGGGGCTACCCATTTAAAGGACCAGTACACCCGAGCCTCCGTTTGCCGTGGTGGCTTCCCACTGGACCCAAGCTTTGCCAAACTGCGGGCGGCGCACTTTTTTTTCCTTTTTTGGCGGGTGCCGCCAGAGATCGTGATCTGGGAGCCCCGAGCCCCCAAAATTTTTGGATTGCCCGGATTTCGATTCTCAAGTTTTCCTGGGCGATGTACTGGCGGTTTAAACCACCACTACGTACAAGCCTCTTTTTCCTGACTCGGATTGCTGCCATGCGCCGAAAACAAAAAACAAAACAGCGAGGATGCAGGTTTTTTTTTTTCTGGCGGCACCAGCCATTTTGGCTTGGTAGGCCAAGCACCAGTCAGCACAGTGTGTTAAACCGCTAGTACACGGCCCCCGCCTTGTGGAGATCTGCTTATCACCTACTCCGAACTTTCCGCGGATCCGGGCTACTGGACCAGAATGGCTGGCGGCGCCAGCCAAAAAAGAAAAGAAGTGCACCGGTGGCGGTGCGGAAAAGCTTGGCGCGCAGTGCAGTGCTTCCAGGCCCAGGTGCACTGGTGGTTTAACTGCACTATCAGAACAAAATAGCTTAGAGACCCTACCGTCTTCACCCAAAAATAACACCCGGGGGTTGTGTTCGAATATAACGCCCGCCGGGTTTTATATGCATTTATAACGCCTGGGTGTTATATTCAGTAAATTTGTGATAACTTCGGTCCCAAATTTCCAAAAAAAAATAAATAAATAAAAATGATAAAATCTGAAGAAAAAAAAAAATGCTGTCTAGGATTGCAATGCGACCAACGTTTGGCTGAGGGTCACTTCAGAATTCCTTATAAACTCGGAAACAAAAAATAAAAACAAAAAATCCAGCTGAAATATACCCCTTGGGGCACAGTTCCACTAGCACACGAGTCATGGCCTATTAGGACCTGTGCGGCACTGTAAGAAAAGGAAGAAAGAAACGTAATTTTAAAGACTTAAAAAAAAAAATGGCAACTCACATTTCCCAAGATGGGAAGGACGTCTACTTTTGAAAGTGCTGCCGTCCCACTAACCCTCCCGTCTCCTCCCCCTGCTCCCCACCCAGCCAATGCCTAATCAGGACAGAGTGTTACGTGACTGTTGCAGGGAGTCCCTTCGTGTGCCTGATGGGACTCCCTTCTCTGCCGGTTGTCATGCTGAAGCATGCAGTTCATATATTTTGAGAGAAAAATCAAGTACTGGATGGAATTACAATTGACCGGGAAACAGAAGGCCGTCAAAACCATGCCCTTCAAGTACTTGATTTTTTTTAATCTTTTGAAGAGCTGCCAATCAAAATGAGTCTTTCTATTTTCTTTTCCCGCCTCCCATTCTTGGGAACTGAAAAGAAAAAGCACAAAAACAAAAACAACACCACTTCAGAATATAAATCCATCGCAATTTTGCTGCCATCGGTTTCTCCTGCATCAGTGGCCGGACGATGTCCCGCAGATGTCCCACTGGTGTTTGTGGGACACAGTTTACCTTACTCCTTTGCTAGTGGAACCGTGCTCTTGGAAGTCAAAATCCCATTCAACCCTCTTCAAAACCCATGTATACTACCTCTTCAAGGCACTCTGCCCACGAAAAATTCAAATATTAACACCCGGGTGTTCTATTCGAAGGGGCGTTCTCTTTGAAAAAAAGTGAGTAAAAATGAAAATGTCATCTTTTTAGGGTAAATTGAATATACCGCCCGGGCGTTATTTTTTTTTTCTTTTTCTTTCTATATTCTTCTCTCAACTTCTGTTTCTTTTGCCTTCCACTACCTACTCCTAAGACTATCTAGAGGGGACCCCTGCAAGCATAGTTTCCTCTCTCTGTGAAGGGGAGATTTCATGTTGCCCCTTGCCCCTAATGGTTAGGGTATAGGGTTGGGGCCGCCAGTGGGGGTCTGGCTAACACAAAGACCGAGACCTGGCAGTAGCTGTGCCTCCCTTTCTCATCGTCCCCCACCCTTCATCGAGTAGCAGCAGAGGCTATGGCCAACACTCTCCCTCACACCACACACAACCCACTCGCGCTCACACTCACACCCGTGTTGGTCATAGACCCCGCTAATACCGATCAGGGGTATCCAGAGGACTATCACAGTCCGTTGGCACTAAGTGCGCCACAGGCAGCCATGGGGCTTGAACCCACAACCTCCTGAATGCCACTTGCATGGGTGAAGACGGTAGTGGTCGTTAAAAAAAAAAACAAAAAAAAAAAACTTGGAAAGTAAATCAACAAGCGATAATCAGTGATAACCAGGGTTTACCATGCCAACTGTCTACATCAACTGGCCCCAACTGATCTGCACCAACAAGGCCAGGGTTACAGGAAAGCTGTGACAGACTTTCACTCCAACAATCTGGCCAACCAATACCGCACCCAATCATCGAATGGCTATACCAAAGGGAAGTAAAGTACTTATTAGCTATGGCCCCGTCATGGAATGCCTATACCAAAGGGAAGTGAGGTACTTGTTAGCTATAGCCCCATAACTCAGAAAGTGTCAGAAAGTAAGAATAGATTAACATAGATATTGGGGAGCGAAGGTGTAGTTTGCGACTTATGTAATGCATGCATCATCTGTAGTTCCCACAGCATGCATCTCTGTGTAGCCTGTGTGTGTACACTGTACACCAGTCATGGATTTCTAATTTTCGAGTGTTTCCTAATCCATTTACTTTCTGTAATGTCTGTAGATAATGTTTTTTGTAGTCTATCCCTGGTATATATCTAATTGTATGTCTAGTGCACCTCTGATGTATTTCTAGTGTATTTCTTGTGTATTTAGCATATGTCCAATTTTCTAATGTATTTACTATTTACAGTGTATGTGTGCGTACTGTTTTTTATAGTAAATTTGTAGTGTGTTTTAGTGTATTCTAGTGTATTCTATCGTATTCTAGTGTGCTTTAGTGTGTTCTAGAGTATTCTAGTGGTGTGTTCAAGTGTTTTTTGTAGTAAATTTGTAGTGTATTCTAGGCTTCTAACATATTCGAGTGTATTCTAATGTTTTTTTGGTAGTAAATTTGTAGTGTATTCCAGTGTATTCCAGTGTATTTTAGTGTATTCTAGCGTATACTGGTGTCTTTGTAGTGTATTGTAGCATACTGCAGAGTATTGTCATGTATTGTTGTATATTCTAGTGTATTGTAGTTGGTCTATGTTGTAATTTGTGTTGTAGAGTATGTGTACTGAAAAGTTTAGTGCATGTCAAGGGTCTCACTATGTACCATAGTGGGCATGTACGTTTTGTAGAGATGGAAGGGGCTGATCTTACCAACCCGGTTTTAACAGCAGACCAGAAAGAGAGATCCTTTCGGACATCAAGCACGGTTCCCCGTGACTTCACCCCTCCAACATATACAGCTTCAAATTGCTCATGTACTATTGCCCTGATCGGTGGCAAAAAGATGTCAACAAAACGAGACAGCACTGCATAGCCATCTCTTCGTTGAACAGTGCCCATCTCTAGCAGAGATTTGCAGCGATTCCACAACTCTTTCGCCCAATGCAACCTGCAACAACATTGCAACCAGAGAAACAAATTAGTCTTTGACTCTTTGTAGGGTTTCATCAACAAGTCAATAAGAGCATTAAGAACTCAAAGTGGACCCGCTGGAGCCGGTTTCCCGCAGGTACAGCTCCCCGCCAATAGAACGGAGCCATCACGAGGCGGGAAATGTGATGGGAGTGTCTGATCCTACCAGCACCCCCATCACACCTGCACCCCATGTTCTTCTCCAAAAAAAAAGGGAAAAAAAAAAAAAAAAAAAGCCAAAGTGGAGTGAAGGTCAGTGAACACATCATTACTTCGCTTTGGGGGAGAAGAAAAAGAGGAAGGTAGGGGGGATGGAGGGTGGCCCCCTTAGTTGCTCAATGAAAAGACAAGCTTTCTTTTGAGGGGGTTAGCCCCCAAAATATTATCGTATCCATTGGGATCTCAGCTCATCATCTGTTAATTAACAGTTCCATGTGAAGAATGGCGGGTGCAGAAACCACTTCATTGCTTTTTTTAAGGGGGATAGTCCGTAGCATTATTGTGTCCATTGGAATTTGCGCTCAACATCTGTTATTGTACCCCTAACATTATTGTACCCCCCCTTGGGATTCGATCTCGTCATCTGTCACTTGGCAGTTACATGTGCCTGGTATACTATGCAGTACGTATCGTTCAGCCAAAGACAAGCTTACAGGATAAACACCCAGATGTCACATAGATATCACATAGCTGTTTGTACACACTTGAGGATAGCTACTTGTGTGTAATGACAGCAGAGCACATTCCACAATGTCAAATTTCCTACGACCAGGTCAGTAGTAGGTATAGCCATACTACATTAGCATGAGCGCATTGGGTCTTCCACTACAGCCTTTACCAAAGGATGACTTTTTGCTACGTGCTTAGGGAGTGCCAGAGGTAGTCCCGTAGGTCCACGGCGATGCTTACGGTTAGTGTGACCTGACCCTAAGGGAGTGCTTCAGGGCTTCACAAGTATATTGGTCACTTAGGGTCAGTTCGTACTCACTGCTACCTCTATTTTTTTTTTTTTTTTTTTTTTTTTTTAACCCCCCCGCCAGTGTTACTTTAACAATCCTGTCGAGGTGGATTATTTGCCTCAACGTAGAATTCATTTTTCCTTTCCCTTGCATATTGCTTAGATCACTGTGTTTTTCTATTGGACATAGCTGGCGAAGATGACCAGGTCTCCAGGAGGTATCTGGCAGGCCCATCGGGGCTGAAGAAGTCTATCTTGGTCAGGGAAGGGCTATGAGCATTCTCAGTTTTCAGACACCGAAACTGAATGTCTAAACGGGCTACGAGCATCCTCAGTTTTCAGACATTGAAAGAGCAAAGATGTATCAGGGATGCTGGTCCTGGTTTCCATCAGGTTGCGCCCCCTGCCAATAGAGCGGGGCAACTGGCAGGGGCCCGGTAGGGGAGGTTCTCTTATCACCCCACCTAGCGGCCCAAAGCTGGTCTCTTTGTATATGAAAAAAAAAGAGTGTGTTTTTCTATTGATTCCTTACGAGGGCAAGAGGAGGCCTCCTTTCTTTCCCTCCCACACAACATCACAGCATACAACTTGCCCCCCTGGCTTCTTTTTTCCTCCTTGTGTGTTTTGAAAAATGAAAGACCTGACCTTATGACCATTTTGGGTCCTTGCAATTCTTGGGAACACTCGCCCGGTTCCTGGTCCACTCACAAGATGAGAATTACATGAAAAAATCCTTTGGTGTATGGCCTTCTGAAAACTGTTTGACGCATGCGTTCAGCCCTTTACGGTCTTTTTCCCCGAACCCAACGCGCCCTAATAATAAATGTATACAAGCTATCTTTCCTGCCCTGTACAGCCATCATGAGGGTGGTGTTGTGTTCAGGGGAAGACGGTAGTCCACAAAGAGAGTAGATGGCTTTTTCATTTTCTTCACTCAACTTATCCTAATAGCCCCCTTTAAACCAGCACTACCTCCGAGCCTTGTTTTGCCGGGTCGTAAAAAGACTGCGAGCCTAGCTTTGCTGAAGTGCCAGCCCGGCGTTTTCTTTTTCCCTTTGGCTGACACCGCCAGCCATTCGGGTTCGGTACCACTGTTCATCCGACGAACCCCGAATGTAACATTCTCTATTCTCAATGTTGCCTGGGAAAGGTAGTTCTGGTTAAGCCACCAGTGATTCCAAGCCTCACTTTCCCACAGCGCGCTTTTTTGTCCGGCCCTAACAAATTCTTTTTTTTAAGGGGCAATGGCCTTCAGATTTCATCATCGAACTGACAGACCCTTTTTTTTTTTTTTTTTTAATAACACTTACAAGGCACAGCTAAGGGTAATGGTGAAAGCATATACCCCTAGCTATCCTTGCATGTGACCCCAGGTAATTCAGAATCGTAGTATTTCGCTCATCTGCTGAAAAAGGAGTGTGAACTCAGATATGTATGTATTTCAACAGTTCAGGGGTGTAGTACCAATTGAGCCAGACCAGTTGGTACGGTCCTAACAAATTCAAACCGGCACAGTGTGCAATTTGCCTGGTGCCGGCAGCCTTTTCCCCACAGGCACTCCGAGCCTTTCTGTGGCTCGATGTTAACTGGTGTTTTTTTTTTGAACCGCTGGGTCACCCGCTGGTGGTTTCTTAGTAGCTTCACTCATTCAGTTCTCTATCACATTCTCAGATTTTGAATTTCAATTTTCTCCTCCTCTGGCCTTTCCCCTGTGAGTAGGGCCCCTGCTAACTGCTGCTGAGACTCTAAATGTGATGATTACGGGTCAACCACTCTATCTAGGACGTTCCTAGATGCATCTTAATCCACCAGTACTTGGCCCAGCTATCTGCCGCGGGCAAAAATAGAGTATAAACGTTTCTAGTCGGATGAATTTGGGCGCTCCTGTAGTGGCCTGTATGTTTCCTAAAATTGTGGTTTGTATACGGGCACGACCTTAGGAAGTACTGGTGGTTTAAAGAAGAAGAATGCGGTAACACTCACTCGGGGATCCCGGACTGTGAGTAAACCCTTACCGATCTCCAGTCACAGCAATCAGAAGCACCAGGCAATGGTGGAACATTCAGATCCCTTAATCAATTCTCTATATTTATACAACAGTCAGGCAGGAGGTCATTTTAAGTCCTTCGGGACCTCAAAGAGGTTATTTTCAGGTCCTTTGGGACTTCGAAGAGTTTATTTTCAGGTCCTTTGGGACCTCGGAGAGGTCAGGTCTTTTGGGACCTCGGAGAGGTCAGGTCCTTTGGGACCTCAGAGAGCTAATCTTCAGGTCATTTGGGACCTCAAAGAGGTTATTTTCAAGTCCTTTGTAACCTCGAAGGACCGGAATAAGAACAGTTTAATACAAAGAAAGCTATAGCACGGCCGCTATGCAAGGATGATACATACAAGTCAGTCCTTCAGTACAACCGTTAATGTTGGAACAATGATACACGAAAGATTGGTATGGCCCATGCGCAAGGATTACTGACATGCACACATCAGAAATGGTCAAAAATGAAATTGAAAGACATAAAAAAGGATAATACACAGGAATGGTGACACGATCCCATTTGTTTTCTAGAAGACGAGAAGGATGACACATTCTTGCCAGTGGAATGAACAAACGGTTGGTAATCACCTGCCATCAACACTTCGAATGGCCTCCAGCAATGGCCTCATCAAGACGTGCAAGGAAAGCTTCCGTAGAGATTCATCCAATGGATCAGACAACATTTCCATCGTTCTCAGGAGGAAAGTCGATGCAATTGCATCTCGAAACTGATTGGCTGACATCTTCCCACCACCATCTGCCACACTAGTGGAAGTAGGCGCTGGTCCAATACTCTCACCATCACCTTCATCCCCTGATGTGATGTCGCTAGCTTCTGTTGTTCGCATCGGTATCCTCTCATCATGACAGACTGAAGCAGCGATTGACGCATCTGCCAAACTGGCAAGCAAGTGACATGCTGCCGCAGGATCAAGCTTTGGCATATCCAAGTCCCCTTCAACAGAATGGCAGGCTTCCTCCCTTCTGGATGTATGCAAGATGCCCACACACGACGCCGACTTTGATGACGACCTTGTCCCTGGCGGCAATGATACCCGTTCAAGCAGTGTAGAGTCTGTAGACGCAGCAGATGGCTTCGTACGGTCACCATGTGTGACACTGACTGCACTCATTGACTTCCCACAGATTGCAATCCAGCAAATGGGATTGATCGCCTGCCAAGCAGCTCCCCAAGCATCTTTTGCCACCACTGCCTCTGACAGGATGTTTGCAATCTGAGCAGTGCAACAACCAAAGGAGGAAAAAAACAAAATCCATCCATCAGCACATTGCAATAGATGGGTCTGGTGACTCTGGTGTGAATATGCCCTTAAACTCAGAATGATGGCTACACCTCTCAGACAGCAATCACCAGACAGCAATCACTATTTCATTCTTCTATTAGTTACTCCTGCTCTAGGTTACTCCTGTCTCTTATACACATCTAGATGTGTATAAGAGACCAGAATGATGGCTACACCTCTCAGACAGCAATCACCAGACAGCAATCACTATTTCATTCTTCTATTAGTTACTCCTGCTCTAGGTTACTCTAATCAATACATTGCAATAGATGGGTCTGGTGACTCTGGTGTGAATATGCCCTTAAACTCAGAATGACGGCTACACCTCTCAGACAGCAATCACTATTTAGTTCTTCTACTAGTTACTCCTGCTCTAGGTTACTCAAATCCCCTCCTTGGCATTGGTGCAACAGGAATGGTGCTCTGTTCCAAATTACCCAATGCAGGGAAAGTTGGGAAACCCTTAGCTTGACAATCTGTCTGTCATCCAATCTCCTCCCTTTGCTCCAGCGTTCCCGCCAACCCACACCCAAACAACCATCCTTCCCAAGAGCCAATTCTGATATGCTCTTAATTTAAACTGCAAGTACACGGCCCCAGCCTTGCCGAATTTTTTTTGTCGCCACATGCAAAACTCGGAGGGGCCGTGCGGCATGGGGCGCTGTTGAAAAAAAAAATCGGCGGCCTCCGAAGTGGTGCGGGTTTCATGCTGACACCCGCGGGCCGATGTGAGGTGTACTGGTGCTTTAAGGCACAGGATTAAATGATTAAAGCCCAGCCGGAAGAAGTCAACTTACATTCTTTGTGCTATGAGATAGACAAGAATGTCTTGTCCGACAAGGTCCAGAGTGGTGTACCGTGCCCAGACATAGCTGCGGTTCAAACCACCAGTACCATAGCCAGTTATCCATGGCACTGCCCTGGTTAATACGAGGCTGTCAGGTTGGGCCTACTGGAGGGGCACTGCCCAAGGCGGGAGTTCTCGCTTTGACAATTTGCAATAAAAATGTTGTGAGAAAAACATCACTGTGCTGTCTGTGGCACACCGTGGATTTCTGGGACTGATGTGTGGCTGGGACACAACAATGAGTACCCATCCCTTGCCTCTCAAGGCACCAAAACACTGTATTTCCAAAGTTCCCTCGGTCACGCTCATTATCCCCATCTCCAAATATATTGGCTTTTTCTTTTCTTTTGCTCTATCCCCGCTGGCTCGGATTAACCGACTCTTCCTTGGGGGTAAAGGCAAGTCAGGCTGCTGAAATGTTTTCAGGTGCCTCTACCATGAGGAGGCCAGCTTTTCATTTTCGGAAAGTGCATGGCAACTCTGAGTAAGCACTAGAAACGCAAGAAAAACAAATATCGCCGTCCAATTTCTGGCCATCCACAGTCACTCACTGAGGGGTGTGTCTACGTTAATAGAACGGTGCCCCGTTTCCTTCAGCAAATTGATCAACAAAGAATAGGTGCAGCAGTGAAGTCCCGATTCTCACCTGGACCCTCAATTATGAGAAATACTGACACAAGCACAGAATCCCAGTGACCGGTACCTTGGCCAAGGTATCTTGCCCAACCACAGGAAGGGAGCAGAATGCAATTCAATGCATACTTCTACGCTCCAGATTTTCCAAGAATGACAACAATTTCTCATTACAACAGCACCATCCCAATACAGTTGCATGGGCTTGCATTTTTTTTATTTTTTATTTTTTTCATACTATCATCGCCCTTTTTTCAATTACAGACTGACTATTGAAGTAGAACAGAAAGGAGCACACTTGTGGTCTGCCAGCAACCTCTTCACCCTGGGCCCTGCGCCAAAAACCCACTGAACCTCTTCACCCTGGGCCCGGCGCCAGAAATCAACTGCTCTACACACTATTTCCTCCCTCCCCTACCATTTGTTTAGGTGATCAGACTTACAATTGCAATGACCACAGACAGCCCAGGCTCCACAGACTGAATATTGAGGAATAACAGAAAGAAACGCCAACTGCTGAACGCACTAGATCCTCCCTCCCTTACAATTTGTTTATGTGATCAGACTTACAATTGCAATGACCACAGACTGCCCAGGCTCAACATTTTTTTTTTTTTGAAAAATTTGGACCATTTCTCGATTTATGCGTGTCATCCTTGCGCAGGGGCCATGCTAATCTTCTCTGAATCGTTCCAATTTTAACGACAGGCTCAACAATTCTAGCTTGAGGTTTAGGTTATGCAGCAGACTGAGCTGCCCCACCTTTGTAGCCACATCCTCATAATCTGTCCACCTTTAGGACTGGGGCCGTCATCCATTACTGCCGTCCAAACCATTGTCTTTCTACGATGGCTGTGGCTGCCGGGGGGAACATGTCCGGGAATTCCTCGGGTCTCTTCATCACAATACTGGGGTCGACCTGCATCCAGTCACAGAATCTGAGCTTGTAGTCTTTAGTGAAGTCCCTGAGTCCCTCCTCTGGGCCATTCGACCTGAGCCATCCTGCCCCCCCTTTTACCCCCCAGCCATTCTGCGCACAAGGTGTGGATTTCCTTAATTATGTCTGATTTTTGTGAGAGAATGTCCGTTTTTTCCTGAACTCGTTTCCATTGTGCTCTTATTTCTGTTTCTATGAATTGCTTAACAGAGTCCGCCGCTTCACCGTCCTCCATCCTGGCCCCTTCTTGGTCAAAAACACACCTTCTTGACCACAGAGTCCAGATCATTGCCTTCCTAGACAAAGAAAAGTGGTTGCTGGCAAAGCAGGATACTTGTGGCCTTCTCCACTCCCCTAGCAGAAGAGCTTCCCATTTCCATGGCCACTCCTCATTAGTGTCCAGTTGAGACCAAATCCGATCCCACCATCGCCACAGTGGGACCACCCCTGGACATTGGAGAAAAATGTGTTCTATTGTCTCACATATTCTTCGGCTCGGGAACCCAACATAACAGGATTTACACCATGGGAGTGCCTCCCGCCTCTGTTCTAGGTTTGTCCTGTCTATAATCCAGTTATTGATGGGGAGGCACCTGTGACAGATTTACCACTGAATGGAGGCAAACTTAGCTGGTCTCTCTTCCACCCCTTTGAACCACTTCAGTCCTCTAACTCGGTCCTTATGAAGGCCAAGGTGTTTCTGCCACCTGTCACCAACTCCTGCCAAAACATCGACCCGGGGCCTAATCATCTTATAAGTGGCTTTTACAGTCACTTCAGAGATATGAATAGAATGTCCGTTCCGTCCCCTTACCCATTGCCATTCCAACGGGTCCAGGGCTAAAGCAGACAGGGGAATTTCTGGTCGGTAAGCACGCCATTGAGTTCTCCATTCCTTATGGCCCTGCAAGACCCGGATTCGGTAGAGGTTGTTATTCTCATGCCATTGGACCGAGTCAGAGTGGTAGCGGACCAGGGTGTTGTCTTGTCTTCTTTCAAACAGGTTTACCATAGCCCCTTTCGGTCTAGCCTCCACTACCGTGCCTATTTGGTAAGGGAAGTCCGCAACCCTTACTGCCACCCAATCCTGTTCTTGTAATCTCGGACCCTTTCTCAAGATCACCACCCAGGCAAGGGGGATCGAAAATATCAATTGATCCAAGGCGTCCGCCAACTTGCGGGCGTGGCGCAGGCAGGGACATAGTTGCTGGGCCATTTTCCAGTCTTTGGTTGTCTCATCCCATATATCACCTACACAAAGAATTCCTTTTCTGACCCATGAGGCCCAGTGAGGGTCCGAGCTACCGAACACCCGTCCTTGCCTATCCGTAATTGCCCTGTTCCCAAATAGGGGTTGATGTAGGATCTCCTCCCACCGTTCCGGGACCGGCCTATCCGGGATCGGCAGCCTCCTCCAGTTCTTGATCAAGTCGCTCCAGAACTTATCCTTGGCCGCGTCTTGTCTAACCGCTCCTCTATCCCCTTCCTTTTTTTAGCACAAGTCGGGGCGGGGGATAGACCAGTTCCGGTCCTCAAGCCATGTGAGGGGGTCCACTGCAATAACTGTTCTTGGTGCGAGTCTGCAGATTTGTTCTACTGTCAGGTCCCGCCACGGAGGTTTTACACCGGTAATCAATCTCTTGATCCATTGGAGTGATAGCGTGGTGGCTTGTAACGCGGGGTCCAACAAGCCCAGTCCTTCCCTGGTTTTGGGCTGGATCAGCTTGTCTCATGCCAACTTGTTTATCACGTTTTGTTGCTCATGATTCCCTTGCCAGAGGAATGTCACCAGGTGCTTTCTTAGGCTCCTGATGTTACCTTTTCCCAATTGCCAGAGGGCTGATTTGTAGCAAATAGATGCCAGCACCACATTGTTTACGTTAAGTGCCCTCCCAAAAATTGAGGTGTTTTTATTTTCCCATTTCTGCATCTTATCCAGAGTCGGCCTAGCAATCCATTCGTCATTGCCTCCCGGTGGTCCTACGGCTGAGAGCACCACCCCCAAGACTCTAATTTGTTCCTCTAGGGGTCTCCAATCTATCTTGGGCTGTTCTGGGGGACGAACGCCATGAAAGTGAATCCACCAGCCTTGCGTTTTGCTTCCCCAGTTGACCGACATATCGGACACCGAGGTGAAACGGCCCATCAGAGCTTGAATTTCCTTCATATTACTGTGGGTGGCCTCAGCTATTATTGTAAGGTCGTCCGCAAACATCGAGTAGACCGGTATGGCTTCTTCTGGGATGCCAGATAGACAGAGCCTGGATAATTTTTTGTTAGATCTCAAATTCGTTGTCAGTGCATCCATTACCACACGAAAAAGGAAGGGGGCTAGTGGATCCCCCTGCCGCACGGAGCGCTGCAATTTAATTTCCGGCGCCAACAACCCATTCACCTGCACCCGTGTTGTCGCATTGCGGTGGAGTATCATAATCCAGTCTCGGAATTCCGGATC